TGAGCTGCAAGAGACAGTCAGGGAGATAACAACACCCAGAAATCATACAGGATTGGGTGAACAGGTGTGGTATGAACAGGGAAATGAGTTACCAGTGAGGATGGATGATAGTATATTCAAAGGCTTGCAGCTCACAGGAGAGCAGTTTGGCAGCACTTTGTTTACACAGCGTTAACTAACTTTTTAAAGCTTTGTTGAAGATTTTAACCTAGAGAAATGTTCCAATACATTTAAAAAAGCTGTTACTGGGCTTGTGTACTGCAGAGGGCAGCCTTTCCTTGCTCCCTTCCCTGGTAAATCTGGTACAGGCAACCCCTGCTTAAAGCTGTTTCACTTAGCGCTATTTCACTATCACGCTCATTTTACATTCAGACCTGATTTCACTTAGCACTCGGTGAGTTTTGTTGTAATGCTCGTGGTCACCATCTTGGGTCATTAAAAACAATTGCAGTCGCCATCTTGAGTTGTCAAATACTTTCGGTTTCGCTTAACACTCATTTTGCTTAACGCTCAGTTTTTGAGGAGCCAATTAAGAGCACTAAGCAGGGGTTGCCTGTAATGAAGAATTCTTCAGAAATGGGTAGGATGAGAGGCAGGGATTGAGCTCTGTTAACATGGAAATTTGCCTGTGTATATTTTTCCTATATACCACCAGAGTGATTCTGGGTTATACAAAGTAATGGTGAGCAACTTTGGATATCATTGCAGTGTTATTTTAGTATAGCTCCAATTATTAGACTAAATAGAAGGTGAAATGCAGTATTATGCACAAAGATTATGATACCAGCAAATGACTGGGACTTTGGTGGTTTGCACATACCGGTTAACTTACACTAGTGCAAAAATTGCAAGCTAGTGATATGACCAGTGCTCAGAGCAGATATAGTATGTGCCAAAATCCAAAGTATTTTGAATTGCCAAGAGAGTGAAGCTGAGACATGCCCATACTGGGCACAGGCTGAACTAGTAGATATCCCTATACCCCACCAGATTTTTGCTGGTGGCCTCCCATCAGTTTTGTAGGACCTAACCTTTCATTAAAACTTTGTGCAGTTCATCTTGTTTCAAATATAAATTTCCATATTTGTCTCAAGACACTGCCAATTTCCTCAGTGGAAATTTCCCAATTGAAATTCCATCCATTGGGAAAATGTGACTTCTGTCTGTCTGTCTTTCTCATTAACACACATGCATCGTCGAGGCTGCCCAGGTGGCAGGGAGGACGTGGTGGGGTCAGGCGGTGCCCCTTGCCCCGTGCTCCCCAGGTCGCGGCCGGACTGGACAGGCCACGCGAGTGCCTGCTCCTGCCGGCCCACTGGATGATAAAAAGTTCATGATCCAGCCCCACATTCAAAAAGGTTGGACAACCCTGATCTAGACCATGCAAGAAGAAGTCAAAGATGGAGTTCTTGTACCCAAATCTTTGTACAAGTGATTACACCAACCACTAGGGCTGTGCGAGTCTTCGGACAGAGCTTCGGATCTGGAGAAGCTTCGGACACTTTGGGGTCCGAAGCGGCACATCTGGGTGGAAGCGATGCGTCATTCACCTTCCCGAAGTGGGTCGGACCCGCCTTGGAGATCCGGCCATAGGGTATAATGGGGAAACAATAAAATATCTATAACTTTTTTGTTTTTTGTCCAAGTTAGATGAAGTTTTCAGGGTTGGTAGACTCCGCAGAGAGGATAAATGCAGGCTGAAAACTGTAGGGGTAGTAGCGCTTACTGAGGCCACAAAGCCTGCCAAGTTTCAAGAAGATCGGTGCAGGGGTTTGGGAGGAACTGCCCCTCAAGCTGTGGACAAGCAAAACTCATGCCATGAGTGCTTGTGGGACTGACTGTGTCTGCCTTGGGGCTGGGAGACACTGCTGCAGGCCTGGCTGCTAAGCTGCTGTGTTACCACTTACCAATCAATCAATCATGATTCACTCAGGCACCAGCTCAATACACAGGACCTAGCTACTAACGACTTAACCAGCATCAATTAGCAACTACAAAACCAGGCTAAGGAGAGGAAAGAATCAATGCAGACAATCAACTGCCCCAAGGCAGACACAGTTTTGGCACAGTTTTGCCTATCAGCAGCTATGGGTGCAGAGCCCCAGACCCCCCCGCACCCATCTCCTCCACAGCTGACAGGCGTCACAGCAGGGGTCGCCATCCCCGCAGCTGTCACCCTGCTGCGCCTTAACACACGCAGTGTCACCCATGGCATGAGTTTTGCTTGTCCACAGCTTGAGGGGCAGTTCCCCCACAAACCTCAAGAATTTGGGGTACAGTTTCCCCCAAACTCCTGCACCAATCTTCTTGAAACTTGGCAGGTTTCATGTTCTCAGCAGAGGCTACCATCTCTGCAAGTTTCATTCAAATCAGACAAAACCCAACAAAGTTATAGATATTTAATTGATTTCCCATTATACCCTATGGCCAGATCTCCGAGGTAGTGCCAATGCTTCGGAGTCACTTCGGCCAGAGCGAGGCGGAAACCTGGTCTGGAGCTCTGGATTGGATCGTGGCCATCCAAAGTGATCGGATCCGAAGCCGGATCGGATCGCTGCTGACTCACACAGGCCTACCAACCACTGGCTCGCTCTCTTTTTGAGCATAGCTTAGCAGTGTCATGTTGGTCTGGAGTAGAGCATTTCCAGTACCTGCAGCAAGCACTCCATCTGCCTAATGGAGTTATCCATCAGAGTCCCACATGGGCCCAGTTACTCCTTAGCCTTAATTTCTGTACTCTGCTGACTGCAAGTCAAGTTGTACTATAAAAATTTGGATATCAAGCATTTTGTTTGACCATCCAGTCAACCACACAGGAGCTGGCCAAGGCTTGTGTCATAACAGACCACATCAACATTTTTGATTTAAGGTCTGTGGCAGGCACAGACATAAGGAGGGGTCTGCTTCTTCGTTCTGAACTTGTTTCTTGATTTTTCTCTCCATTCAGTGTTTATTGACTTCCTTTTCTTTAGTGAATTTTTTCTTTAGTGCATAGGAACAGTTGTGAGGAGGGAGGAAATAGTCTCTCACAGACTTGTTCTATGAATTGTATGCACTGTTGGTGTCATTCTGCACTTAGAAGGTGCCTGTTACTCTAGGAAATTAGCTTTTAGGACTATCAGCAGAAAATTCTCTTTCTGAGCAAAAAGCTACTCTGGGTATTCAGCCTGGCCCTGACTTGGGGGCTATGCTGCAGAAATATTAATATTCCCCAAAGATTAGTGAGATGTTTATACACAATTGTCTTAAGCTCCCAAAAGGCTTTTACACAGATCTCCTACAAGCCACTGCTTCAGGGCAGTGTGCTGAGACATGTGGCACAGGTACTTAGAAAACAATGACCCTACAACACTTAGAGTGTTAGGCAGGACATAGATGCAACCAATGCTAGTATAGAATATCCTGTATGATTTTCACAAGTTTATTTTTACTGGTTTAATTAGCTACAGTGCACTTTGAATTTCACACCTCTGGCTCTCAAGCCATAAACCTCTATCAGATGAACTAAGAGTCTCCATTAATAGTATAGTGAGATCAAAGTTAACCAGAGGAGCAGCTATTCATTTAAACACACATGGGCAGCCTACTTCAAGTGCAATCCTCTGCTCTTGTATGGTAAGAATGACAGTGAACATATTTCCCTTGTTTCCCTTTTGCTGTGAAGTGTCTTGTACAGTGCTGGCCTCCAACCGCAGCAGCAGCAACTGTGATGTGGAAAACAACGAAGTTTATCTACAAATTCTTCCCTGGTGTTTCTCTGAGGCAGTGGTTGAAGTCACAAGATTTTTGTTACAAAATAGTCACTGCCCTGTCTGTGAACTCTGCTTCTGATTCAGTAAGGAAGTAATTAAAATAGGAACATTTTTTGAGCATTTCCGCATGTTAAGTATCTTCTGGACCCATCATTCAGCACTGACAAGCTTATCTGGATGTACAAGTTTCCTGAAAAACTCCATGTGCCAGTGTAAATATAACAACAGAGCAAGAATCGCTTATGAAATGTCATCTCTTTGTACCTTCCAGGCTATATTATGTGCGGTTTTTGTTTTTAAGGGTAAGGCCTTTTTCTCTATTTATTTCCCAATAGATATTTAATTGAGAGATGTGTTTATGTTAAACCTAATTCTTTTCTCAATGAAATTAAGGCAAGTTATGTCATCAGGTTTGCTTTGTTTTGAGAGTGAAGTGATATTGGCATGTTTTGCGGGGAAGTAGAATTAACTTCCCAAAGTATTTCAGTTTTTTGTAGTTCCATTTCTATGTTGCTTCTGGTTATAGTGAACTTGTATGCTGAAGAAGAAACCTCATAATAATAGGATGTCCCTGTATTTGGCATGTAATCAATGAAAAAAATATAGAAGTACAGGAATGATTACTTGGTGCTATCGATTTATTGTCGTACAATACCTTTAATATTGGAAATGTAGTACACCAAAATATAGTCAGATAACGGTAAGACACCGAAGATTAATTCTGTGTTTGTGAATTTCTGAGTTTGTGTCCTGTTCTCTCGTCCTCAGCTGTAACCGTAAGATTATGTTTCTGTCTTGGAATTTAAAAACATGCATTGTCTTGCTCATTTGGATATACTGAGATGTCCGGCTCTAGTTTTTTGCTTTTTTTTAAAAACCCTGGTCTTACTATCTATAGACTGTTTGTTGTATAAAGTGCCATTCTGTTCTGCAAGGAATATGTATAACACAAACACCGACTTGTAACTAAGCCACAATGACAAATGTAAGATATACATTTTGCAAACCTAGTCAAGAAAGATGTATGTCAATTGACATTAAACATTTCAAAGGCAAGTTTCTGTTCTATTCAAGCTCCATGCAGGGGCATAGACAGTTGAAAAGCTCCAGGAAGCTGGCTGTGGCCCCCTGAATCTGAATATCCTACCTTTTAAGAGGACCATATACCTCCTCTTGTGGAGGCTGAACAGTTTATATATTTGAGTAAATACAGTAGACATTCTCAAGCAAATACTTTTTTTTCCATAGGTACCAGTGGTGGGGAGAGCCCTGCTAGAGGAACTGTAGGTGACTGTGTCATCCTTGATCTGAACATCCACAAGCCAGAAACACATGAAGTCATCTGGAAGAAAGGCAGTAATCTAATGGCCAAGATCACAAATTCTATTGTAAAGCTCTATGGAATCAATGTTACCCGATTTAATGCATTCGCCAATGGCAGCCTAAGCCTTTGCCCCATACAGTGGGGGGATGAGGGTAAATACACAGCTGACACGTACAGTCAAGATGGGTTGCTTTTAGATACCCAAGCTATTTTCCTGGAGCTTGTTGGTAAGTAGAAATTTATTGCATAACACCTTGCTGGGTCTGTGGATGCATTCCATAAAGAAAGAGTTTGAAAGTGTAGTTGGAAAATGCAGCTTTATATTGTTCAGCAGTATAAAGCAATTACCTTGAATCAGGTCCATTATAATGAACCATGAAATCAATTGTCTCCATCAACACTGCCTGAATAGAATTGCTACTGTTGCTGCCAGGCACTTGATTTTAAACTTTGGGTGTAGCCGGAATCATCTGGATGCGACTCCACCATTACACCCTTGCTGAATACTGCTCCTCCCTCCATGCTGCTGCTGGAGGGAAGAAAAAGAAAAGAAGAAGCAGTCATTGTAGTCTCCATGCTTCTATTCTGGGCAAAAAAATCAGTTTTCCTGCTTAAGACATGCATCCCAATTTTGGAAGGCTAAGTTTTGGGGAAAAGGTGGGGGTTGTTTGCGGGTCAATATGGCATGTAAAGTCGGCACATATGTATTTTAAACCTTAGTTTTATATCTCCAAGCACTTGACTTCAGCCTTCCACTTTAAAAAGATACAATAGAAATAAGAGAACTTCCAGTCAAAAGGAACTGGAGACAATGTTCTTTCCCTGCAACTGAACTGAGTTGGCTAGTAAAAATAAGCTGATATTTAACAGAGATGGCTTTTTCCCAACAGAATATATATCTGCATCTGTTCAAGAAATCAGTGGATTTGCTGGTGGTTCTGTGTTCTTACCTTCTCCTGAGGTAAATCTGGAAGGACATTTCCATGTGACTTGGAAGAAAGAGAATATATCCATTGCTAGGATGAGTTTTTCTTATTTCGAGTACTACGGGGAATACGCCAACAGATCTGAGATCTTTTCTAATGGCACTCTCAGATTGGACAGGATTGAGGACAGTGATAGTGGTCAGTATTATGTAGAAGCACATAATGGCACTGGAAAGATTATGTACAACACAATCTCTCTTGAAGTGGAAGTGGGGGCAACAGAAGGTGAGTATTGCTCAATTGAAAATATTAGCAACATGTGCAAATACTGTCTTGTCTTAAAAAAAAAGTCTTGCTTTCCATTTGATCAAGTCTTGTTGGTATGGCTATGTTGGTGAGGGATGTGATATTTTTCCTTGTATTGCTGGCTTGGCCAAAACCTTACTGCACACACAGTGCATGCCAGGGAAAAAGTCTCTTTGTCCTTTGCTAAGAAAGAAGTGCAAGCTATTCCAGAAAAGTACTTTGTGACCAGTGTATGCTCTGCCCACTCTCAGGGGGTAGCTACACCAGTATAGAACTGGTGGCAAAACTTTAATGTGCAGGCATGGTTTAGAAATGTTTTTTAAACTGGGGAAAAAACAAACAAACCATAAAGAGCTGAATTGCCTCTCTGTGGGAATGTTAGATTGGAAGGAAATAATTTGGATACTTCAAGTCCTGCTCAAAATTCCAAACTGTCCAAAATTTGAGAATCCAATCCACATTGCCTGAATACTTGATTATACCTAATAAAGTACCCACCAGTGAAATAGGTAAGTGTGACGACTTAGAAACTGTTGGCAGGTAGCTTTGTATTAACAACCCATTTTGATGAATGAGGCAGCTTACATCTTTACTAAAGTTACTGTTGCTGTGTCTACAAACTTTCAAAGAGCAGGTGTCCACTGCATCTATGACAATGCCCATTAGGGATCTGATTCCGATATTTTTTTGTACCCAAAGTGGTTATACCAGTATAAGCAGTTGTAGACACATACCAGTATATGGTAGCCTATTTCATGTCCAACACAGGATTAAATAATGTATATGAAGTATCAGAAGAAATACATTTATAACCATCTAAAGTAAGGAAAGGCATTTACTTCCCTTAAATATATTAAAAATAGTTTTAAAAGTGCAACTTCTGTGTGGGGACAAGCCTTCAGTGGGCTAATGGACATCAGACTTTAAATTGAAGGGCGGGGGAGAGACTTAACTGACTGAGGTCAAACTGGTTTATAGAACTTCTGTCCCAGACCCCTTCCTGGTTAAAGTTAAATCAGAGTCCCCCAGCATCCCAGCATGCTCTGCAGCCCTGGGCTGGCCTGTGCTGTCTGTTCCAGCAGAGCAGGGCTAGCTGTACTCCTCTGCTTTATCGGCAGAGCAGGGGTGGGGGCATGGTCAGATGCTGGCTGGCATGACCCCTGAGGCAAAGGGGGCAGGGAGGGGCCTATTCCCCCCTCTCTCCCCTCTCCCACTGGAGGACTTCAGCCAGGGTTTGCCAGCACTGGCCACCACCTCCACCTCTGCCGCTCACCCCTGCACAGGCTGAGCGCTCTCTGACAGGGGCTGCTGCACCTGGGCCAGACAGACCCCAGCTGTGGTCCCCTGGGGGAAGAGGGGAGGGAGGGGGGAATAAATCCCCTCTCTCTTCCCTCCTTGCCTCAGGGGGCCATGCGGGGATGGCATCTGGTCATGGCCCTGCCCCTGCCACTGGAGCAGAAAGGAGTGGGTTGGGATCCTGACAGGGGTAGCAGCCCCATGGTGTCCTGGGGAGCACAAGCCTCTTCCTGGTGGGGGCATTGAGAGGGGGCTGTGTTGTGGGCAGGAGTGGGGTGAGCAGAGCCTGTGCAGGGTGGACAGTGGCAGCAGGGCTGGGAGGGGTGGCTATGGGGGCTGAAGGAAATTTTGGGGTGGCTATAATCCTCCTTAGTGCCACTTCTGCTTAGCCCCCCACAGCCCCTGCCCCAGCCCCGGGCAAAATGGGTTTCGCCGCAGGGGCAGGGCTCTTCCCAGTCATCCTAGGCCATGAGAGCTGTGTGCCTGGTTTGCTCCCAGCTCCCCGCACCCAGGCTAGGCCTGGCTGGGGAGGATCCTGCTCCTGTGGCCCCATCCCACCCGGCCCCACCATCCACCTACCTTACCTGGGGTGGGGCCATGGGGTGAGCTGGGCTGGCCTGTTGGCGCTGCTGAGGGTGGGCGTGGAGGGGCCAGGCCCTTCCCAGCTAGCTGTGGCTCAGGCTGGGGTCACGGGAGCTGTGCATCTGGATTGCTCCCAGCTCCCTGCACCCAGGCTGGGCTGGGGTGTCAGGGAATCACTGCAGCAGTTAGGGCTCTCCCCATCTTCCTCCTCCCCCACTGCTGGGTGGGAGGGTCAGGCTCTGTGCTGCACTGCCTCAGCAGCTTTGTGATAGCCTGGCCTGGCCTGGGTGTGGGGATCTGGGAGCAATCCAGGTGCACAGCTCTGATGGCCCCAGCCTGAGCTGCAGCCAGCTGGGAAGGGCCCCTGCCCTTTTCAGTCAGAGGTGGGGCTTGGGCTTGGGCTGTGGGAGCTGTACACCCGGATTGCTCCCAGCTTCCCTTGCCCAGGCCAGGGCAGGCTGTCACAGAGGGCTCTCTCCCTCCTCTCCCTCCCCTGCTGTGGAGCCGTGGTGGGGCTCTGTATGGTACTGCCTCAGGGCTGGAGAGGCAGAGCGCTGAGCCCCGCTGTGGGGGCAGGGTGGAAAACTGGCCACTGTGGGAAAGGGGGAAAAAAACTGTGCTCCTGGCTCCCCAGGCTGGGCTGGGCTATCAGGGAGCTGCTGTGGCAGGCAAGGTTCTCCCTCTCCTCCTGCTTCCCCACTGCGGGGTGCGCGTGGTGGTCAGGTGGGTCTGGCCATACCCACGCTCTCACTGTTTGACCATTTGGTGCCAGCAGGGGTCTGGGGTCTGTCCATGCTCCCTCCCCACCCTCCAAAAGCCTGGCAGGGGCTGTTTCCTCTCTCCCTCTCCAGGCACACCCTGGCTGGGGTCCCTGCAGTCCAGTGTTGGAGTTTAAACTCCTCTCCAACCACATTCAGGCCCAGCAGGGCCTGGGCACCCCTCCATCCCACCACTTAGCTCAGTTTCCCTCTTCCACTGTGGAAGAAGTGAAGGCTCACTCTAGCACCCCTCGGCTTCCGACCTGAGCCACTATAGGTGCCTGCATTTCTGGAATCAAAAGCGAATGTCTATTCACTTGCTTGCTGGTTCAGTCTATGCAGGTTAGACTCACCTGCAAAGATTGAATCAATTCAGGCTTGGGCTTTTTGTCTGTACTTAGCCATGATCACTGTCCTTTGCATCAGCTGAATTATAAACTAATGGCAAAAATCTTTCTTGCAGAAAAGTAATCCCAGTGGAGTTCCACCATGGTGAAACATGACCCAGGGTGGTTATGGTGAAAGTGTGACATTTTATAGGCCCTTTTCTTCAGCATGTGAGCTTCTTATGTGCTTTTATGTAATGTCTTGACATGACTACCCAAGTGTCTTGGCTGCCCAGAATCCACCATGTCCAGGACAGAGAACCAGATCTCTTCTACCTCACAAATATGCAGTGAAATAACCAATTCATATCTGGCCACAGAAAAATCTGATTATATTGTAAGAGGCATAAGGAACCACAGCTGGATAGTTAGACCCCAGGCTGAATTTGTCATGCTAAGTGTCTGACTTGCAAACTGTGGTTATTTGATTGGGATTTGCTAAGAAGGAATAATCAGACTAGCCTGACTAGACAGATCTTCAAAGGAAGTAAAAAAAAAAAAAAAAAAAGGAAGGATAGATAAAAACTTGGTAAAATAATTGGTTAGGACACTATTGTTTTATGCAACATATGTGTATCATTAGAAAATACATATACAGGCATATGTAAGACTAACAACATGGACAGAAGGAATTTTAAGTAATTTTTCCCGTGTTTTATTCCCATTTTAGCACCCCAAACAATCGATTTCTTTGTTGTGTTATATATCTGGATGGGATGCCTTGTTGCTGTATGTATTATTGTGTCTATCACACTTGCATGGCATTGTGGAAAGTGCAAACACAACAAAGGTAAGGGTTTCTTTTTTACTCCATATCCAAACTGGGGAAAGAAGATTTTACACAAAAATGGTGCTTAAGGCTAGCTTACTGTTTTTGTATAGCCATCCTACCAGAGATACACCAGGGACTAGCTGCCACTTCCAAGTCAATCTAGTAGTTTGGAATTCTGACTGCTTCAAAATGCTTTCAGCTGAGCTATGAAACTGCTCTGAAGCAGCAAAATGTAGTGACTTGAGAGGGAATTTGGCCATGAGTCTGGGATTAATGTGACTTTTGTGAAAAGCATCCCAGTATTTTTAAAGGTCGGCATTGTCTGGGATCATATCTGTACATCTCCACACAAGAATTGAGAAGTCCCTGCCCTCAGTATTGACCTTGGTTGGTGCTTAGACCCAGGATGTTACTAAGTGAATCAGTTACGGAGAATTAAGTTAAGGGGCCCAATCCTTTTCTTCGGCAGAGTGTGCCCACCTCTCCCAGAGCCAGGGGGCAAGCTGCTGGTGGGCTGAGTGGCCCCTGAACTGTAGGGGACTGTGGCAGGGCACTGGTTGTGCCTGTCACTTTAAGGGCCTGGAGCTGGCAGCTGCCAGGTGCCTGATGAGGGCAGCCATTTTGAATCTGGGGCTGCCCCTATCAACAGGGCAGTTCTGCTGCTGGAGGCCAGGCACCAACATCGCTTGTCTGGAGGGCTGCTGGTGTCATCTGGAGGTAAGGGAGGAGCTGTAGGGGATGGTCAGGAGGCTCCTGGTCCTGGGTACAAATTAAAACTGCACCCTGCTGGGAGTGGGTGGCCTGGTGGGGCTCCCAGTGGCACAGGAGCCCCCAGGAAATGCCAGGCCAGTTACCACTCCAGTGAAAGGTGGGTCGGGGCACCTTAACCCCTAGCCCCCACGACTGGGTGGGTTACCCCTTGTTTGGAGGGCCTAGAGGATGGACCCTCAGAGAGAGAGAAAGTGCCATAGACCTGTCTGGACTTCCCCTGACTGGTCAATGCTGGGGCCAGGACTGGAAGGGTTGAAGGGCCGAGGGCCCACCGCGAGGAATGCCCAAGAGCCGTGGGTCTGGGGTTCCAGCTGCCGTGGAGGTGGGCCAGGGCTAGTGGCCAAAGGTCCCAGGGGGACCACAC